AGTCTCGACAGTTGAAGACTCACGAGCTTAACTACCCTACTCATGATTTAGAGTTAGCGGCAGTTGTATTTGCCTTGAAGTGTTGGAGACATTACTTGTATGGTGAGAGATTCAAGATGTACTCGGATCATAAAAGTTTCAAGTACCTTTTCTCCCAAAAGGACCTGAACAACAGACAGAGAAGATGGGTTGAGTTCTTGGAGGACTACAATTTTGACTTGCAGTATCATCCGAGTAAGGCAAATGTGGTAGCAGATACCTTAAGCCAAAAATCTCGTGGGACTTTGGCCTGTTTGGCTATCGAAAGTGGAAGATGATTAAAGATTTGGCAGAGATGGGATTGTATTGTTTTGATGATGATGTTGACAGTGAGCCAGCATTCTTGTTTATTCTTGTGGCTCAACCTACTCTTGTTGTACGAGTGATTGAGTCACAGAGACAGGACACAGATTTAGATGCCATTCACGCTTTGATCTCCAGTGGTGAGATAGTGAAAGATTGGGCCTTGCATGCAGATGGGGTTCTACGGTTCAGAGGTTTGTTGGTGGTTCCCACAGTTTGTCGTGAGGATGTCTTACGGGAGTTTCACACTTCCCGCTTTGCAGTTCATCCAGGTGGTACCAAGATGTATCATAATTTGAGACGTCAGTATTGGTGGAACGGGATGAAGAAAGATGTTACTCAGTTTGTGGCTAAATGCCTTACCTGTCAGCAAGTGAAGGCCAAGCATTAGAAACCAATCGGTTTATTGCAACCATTACCTGTAGCGCAGTAGAAATGGGAACATATTGCTATGGATTTTGTGACAGGTCTTCCAAGGTCACGGAGGGGCAATGAAGCCGTATGGGTCATCATTGATAGGTTGACCAAGACGGCTCACTTTTTGCCTATTAAGGCAACAGATGATGCAAAGAAGCTTGGTGTACTTTCTGTGAAGGAGATTGTAAGGTTGCATGGAGTTCTAGTAACCATTGTCTCAAATAGGGATGCCAAGTTCACTTCGAAGTTCTGGAAAGGACTTCAAGCAGCGTTTGGTTCAGCGTTGCATCTTAATACGGCATTCCATCCATAGACAGACGGCTAGTCGGAGCGTACTATCCAGATCTTGGAGGATATGTTTCGGGCATGTGTGCTTGACTTGGGTGGTAGTTGGGAAGATCATCTACCGCTTATTGAGTTTGCCTACAACAACAGTTATCAGGTGAGTATCTAGATGGCTCCATTTGAGGCGTTGTATGGTAGACCTTGTAGGTGTCTTGTTTGTTGGACTGAGGTGGGTGAGACCGCCGCTTTAGGACCCGACATAGTACTCGAGACTACTGAAAAGATTAAACTGATCAAACAGAGGTTACTTATAACTCAGAGCCGGCAGAAGAGTTATGCGGATAGGCGGAGATGGTCATTATTCTTTGAGGTGGGAGACCACGTTTTTCTTCAGGTTTCTCCACGGAAGGATTTGATGAGATTCGAGAAAAGTGGCAAGTTGTCGCCACGATTCATTGGACCGTTTGAGATTTTGGATCGTGTAGGAGAGGTTGCCTACAGACTTGCTCTGCCACCACAGATGAACAGAGTCCACAATGTATTTCATGTATCGATGCTACGGAAGTATGAGCCGGATCCATCTCACATTTTGAGTTAGGTTGATGTGGACATTGATGAGGATGTCTCCTATGAGGAGGGACCAATTCAGATCCTTGACACACAGCAGAAGGTGTTAAGGAACAAGACGATACCAATGGTGAAAGTTCTTTAGAGACACCACGGAGTCGAGGAGGCTACTTAGGTGCTCAAACAAGAGGCTTGCTCCAACTACCCAGCGTTATTTTCTTCCTCATGTATGTCTTGATTTCAAGGATGAAATCTTTTAAAGTTAAGGAGAATGTAATGTCTGTGTCTTATTATAAATATAAGTGCATATGCGTATATATTTGTGTGTGTGTGGTGTAATTTAAAAGCAAAAGAAAAAGAGAAAAGAAAAGAAGAAAAAAATGGTAGGACCCACCATTAAACCAATTAAGGGCCATTACAGACCCATTTTACATAATCAGCTTCTCTCTCAGCCAATGCTCTCTCTTGCTGCCTTTTTCTTTTTCTTTTGCAATTTCAACCTCTGATTAATTCATCATTTCTTAGTATTTTTAAGTGCCGTTTACAGCAAAACGGAAAGCACAGCGAGCTCTACACGTATGAACCAACAATTTCAGTTTTGAGCAACCTAGGTAGTCCGAAAATTGAGACCCATTTTGAGGATTTGAGGTGAAAATTGGGGGTTTTGTTTAAAAGTGAGTTAAGGGTTCTTAATCCATATAATCTTGTGCTTTAGTGAGTTAACTCCTCTTGAATTGTTGTTTAGCATGATTAATTTGTATAGAATCTAGTAAATTGTTTGGTTGTTATTCATATATATTAATTGTGTAACTATGTGTATCTAATGATCTATGTGAAGAGCATGTCTAAGTGTTAATTTTCATATGCCTATCATGCTAGATTTTTTATTGTGTGAAATCATGTTGTAATTTTCTTAGAAATTTTTGTGAATCATGCTTTATTAATTAAAATCGAGTTAGTTGTGGGATGATGAATATGGACATGGCATAGATGCATCTATGCACTAACATTGGGCATGAAATGGGAAAAATTGTTTTGAAATGAAAAAGGGAAATTTTGGGAAGAAGTTTTGTTTAAAGTGTTTTATGAAAACCTGGTCGTCGAGGGGGTACCAAAAGGCCAGAGTGTTAATATAGCCTAGAGGGAATTAGGGAGATTGTCCTAGCGTGGTTGAGCTAGCTGGACCCAAAATGATGCCACAGGGGTACCAAGGGTCAGGGACACTAGCCAATCATTCTCTCGTGTCGTTGTGGGGTCACCAAAGGACGTGTTATATTAACAGTTTGAAAGTGATGGATTTAAACGTTGAAAATGGGGAGCGACATCGGCATGCATTGCATTTCATAACATCATATTGTGTATGCTGAGATTGGATTTAATGTTGTACTTTCCCGACATAGTATGACCCCCTAGGAAGCACGGATACTCCAAAATGGGTGAAGAATCCATGTCCGACACGTGTCGGGGCGTCCGACACGTGTTATGCATACCAAAAAACGTGTCTGGAAATTTTTTTTTTTTTTTAAAATTTTCGGGCATGGCTTGGATACGGCTCAGACACGGCTCGAATACACTTTTCTAGAATTCTTTTTTAAAATAAAAAAAAAAAATTAATGCTGATATGTTCTATTTTTGGTTTTGTACTACTCTTTTGGTATTGTAAATGGTAAAAGTCCTAGGTCAAATGATGGATAGGAATAGATGATAGTACACTGACTTGTTTTGGTATCTTTTTTGGGGACTAGCCTTTAGGTTTTTGTGAATATTAAGTGCTAACGGTAAAGTCCTGAATGTTAAACAGTCATGAATGTTAATAGTCATTTCTGTCTATATTTTTGTATTTGGAGTAAACTTGCAATGATGATTAAATGATACTAATTATTATTCTAATGTCTTGTTTTTTATTTGATTTTATAACTATGCAACATTGTTCTTTTATAGTTCATTAGTTATGAGTTATGATTTGTGTTTTTTTTCATTATGAGGTTGATGAAAAATAATTAAAACTCAATAATTTTTAAAGTACTACATCACACACACATATATATATATACTATTCGCTGTGTCCGTGTCCTAATTTTTTTAGATCTGTCATGTCGCCGTGTCCGTATCGTGTCGTATCCGTGTCCCGTATCCGTGTCCGTACTTCCTAGATGACCCCGATTCTTATTGTTCTATTCCTTATTTAGATTTACGGGGACACAAGAGGTGTGTCTTAGGCACCACCTACTGAACAATTTTGCTCATCCCTTTTATTTAACATTTTTTTTCAGGAAACGGGAAAGAAGTGGCGGATGATATTCTACCACAGACTTAGTATGGATTAAGAGCTTATTTTGTTGTTTTTGTACTTGGGTCTCATTATTTTTGTAAGACTAAATATAATGTATTTTGTACGACGACTTATAAACTTTTAATATTATAATTATACTTATGGGCTTGTAAAGCATGGACATTTGATATTAATTTTGTATTTTGGGACTGTAATTATGATATTTAGATGATATAGTATGTGGTTGTACCACCATGGAATGAATTAAGGCATGATGAATAGATGAAAGGGATGCTGAAATGTATTATATGTTTATTGTGTTGGGACAAGTTAAAAATGCATTTAAACAGATTGTCGTAGGACCCCTTTTTAGCGGAGGTCCTGCCAAAATTTTTTATTTTTTATTTTTTATTTTGACATCAGTTAGAGTCGTTACATAACCATTGTCAATTAAAGAAAAATTTACAGAACTAAGTCATATACCATTTTGAACAATATATCAATGTTCAAATGAAGTCAAAAAATTCCAAAAGAAAAAAGAAATTAATGAAGAATTCACACACACACACACATACTCAAAATGAATTTTAAATACTCAAAATTGAAACTTTAGTCATTTCAACTTCAATGAGGCGAAGGACAAAAAGGGAAAATTAAACTTAGTTGTGGCAGTTCAGGTATCTCATTGGGTCCAATCTAGCTGTAAACCATTCCCAGCCACAAAAAATTGACAAAAAAAAAAAAAAAAAAAAAATACGAAAAACATACAAATAAATAAATAAATACTGAATTAAATTATGATTTTTCTTAAAAAAAAAAAAAAAAAAATTGTTAGGTAAGTCAGGCCCAAACATTTGGAACTGATCCAACCTACTTTCAAAAGGAAATGAGATACCACTGCACTAAGTGTAGTTGTTTTATGAATCAAGTTAGTCAATCAAAATAGTATTTCTTAATCCTATTGACAATATTAAGTTCAAACCATCTATCAACTAAACAACGAATGAACTTCGAATAATTTTAATTGTTCGGGTAATAGAAATTAATATTTAATTTAAAATTAATTCTAAATATTTTTAATAAATATTCAATTTTGAGTATATTAATTTGATCCTAATTTTGCACAATAATATAAAGTATGCTACATGCTTGCTTATGGTTAAATATGCCAAAGATGTTTAGTTAAACTATTGCACATATTTCATAGTCATAAAAGAAGAATAAAACTGGTTATTACCCATTTTCTATATTGTTTAAATCCCACCCGCTTAAGTTTGCTGCCTCAACCAAAGCTGCCCTCCACCTATGCACCTTGTCCTTGTCCTCCACAAAAGTTGCTTCATGTTGGGCAAATGCTTCTGCAAAACTCCCTTTTTGTTTCCATATGTCTGACAGATCCACATTGTAGAAGATCGGCATAACTCTGTGTCCCGTCATGCTCTTGTTACATTCCATGATCTCCACCAGTTCATCCAAGCACCATGAGGAGGATGCATAGTTTTTTGAGAAAATAATGACTGCAATTCTTGATTCCTTAATAGCCTTGACAAGTTCGGGAGAAATCAATATTCCTCTCTCAAGTTTCTCATCATCCTTGAAGGTGTAAATTCCTCTCTGTTCCAGAGCCACATAGAGATGGTCCACAAAGTTTTTGTAAGTGTCTTCGGCTCGAAAACTCAAGAAGACATCGTAAATCCATCTAGAAGAAGAAGAAGAAGCAGCAGCAGCCGCCGCCGCCGCCATTGGCACTTTCTAATATGTGAATACAAAATTACTCTGAGCAATTTTAATACTTCAAAAGATATCTCCCCTTTATTATATAAGGGATGGGTAATTTTGATTTATTTGGGGGAGTGATCCGATTAATTCAAAAGTATCTTATATTTATCTAAGCAATTACCTTCATACTCTGCTTTAAAGGATGAATGCTGTACGTGCATGGAAGTTGCTGAGTTTCCATGAACTTTCCTTGTGGGGTATCATGCCATGACCGCTGCATAAAGTTTTAAGAGAGATCTAATTTTAATAGGACGATGCTTGTGTCCAGGTTGGATGAACGGGTGACATGGACCAATCAAGGTAAGACACGTGTCCAAAAAAATAAAATTAGAAGAATAATACTTAACAACTCAACTCACTGGTGACTAGTTTCACCCTACTCACCCCTTATCCCTTATATATTCCAATAAAAATTTACCATATCAATTTTAATAATAAAATAATTTATAAAAGGTGAGTAGTTATGTTCTAATAAGAATTTACTATAATAATTTTAATAATAAAATATTTCACAAGGAATAAATAAGAGTAAATAGGATGAAACTACGAACTGCTAAGTATTATTCAAATTAGAATTACTTTGAATATTACCCAATTATTCGGTTTACCCGTTGCTCTAACCTTTTTAATCCTCATTGTCTCTCTACCTCTTCTCCTTCACCCATGTCTCAAACACCCTATACCACGTCAAGGTTGCCGCCGCTGCCGCTTACCACCACCAACTCTCTGTGATATATATACATATATGATCATACACACACATACACATATTTGCACACAGAATTGTCAGCAGGAGATATACCCAACATTACACATATATTGGGTATATATATAAATGGGTATGTGTTTGTGTTTGTGTGTGTGTGTATATATATATAGTACATGAGAGAAATCGCGAGGAGTACCATCGGCAGGACTGGACGGCGAGCTCGGAACGGCGACGGCCGCGAAATCTCCAGGACGGCCGCGATCGGTATGTGTGGAAGAACTTTCACGAGTACATCGGCAAGTGGCGAATCGGAGTTATCAACGGCAGAGGAGCTCAAATTTGGGCGAAGACTAATTTGGTCTTGTTTATAATTGGTGATGGAGTTGTGTTTGGTGGGTGAGCAGTGGTGGTAATTAGTGATACGGTTGTGTTTGGGTTTGTAATTGGCAGAGGAGCTCTGATTTGGGCGAACGGGAACACTGAGCGTTTTTTTTTTTTTTTTTGGAAGATTATTGTAATGATTTTGGAAGTCCCTGAATCTTACAATCTTACTTTCCGGGTAGGTTCACCGCTTCATCAAAGTAATTGTGGTTTAACAATTCACATTATTTCGCTGATTCCAGAAATATTTAAATCAAATTATATTAGTGGAACCAAATAAAACCATAAATTCTGTTTTGTGCTCACAAATAAATAAGAAAGTATTAAATACCCCAAGATGGTATTTTGGGTCCCCTTAATTGTGGTGGGACTCATCATTACGTTGATGATTCAGTAATTGTTAGTGTCTTGGGTATCATATTTCCGGAGTATTTAATATTTTCTCTCTATATATAATACAATACGAAGTAATAGAGTAATGATTTATGGCTTAATGGTAAATAAGAAATTCATTGACACCATAAATGATAACCATTATATGTTAAAAAAAAATTATCAAAATAACATAGCAAATCACATCAAACGATTACCATACATGGTGTGGTTGAATTTTTTGCTCACCGATGAGTAAGAGCATCTCCAATGACCTCTCAAATGGTCTCTCAAACTCAAAATATAGTAAGTAAATGAAAATAAGGCCCTCCAATAAGCTCTCAAAAGATCTTTCATATTTTGAGATTCTCAAATGTATTTTTAAATATAATAGCTCTAGCAAGTAGATGAAAATAGGCACTCGGTTCTCTCAAAAGACTTCTCATATTTTGAGTTTCTCAAATATTGTTAAAATGAAAATAAGACACTCTAATGAGCTCTTAAAACATAGAATGATTGTTGTATCAAAAAATAATATTTTATCCAATTTTGGATAAAATACACCATTGAAGCAGAATTATAAAAATATAGCATTTTAATATTGTAACTCCTCACAAAATATAGATTTAGAATGAAAATATAACATTTTGCATTTGAGATGCTCTAAGAGATCATTAGTGTGTGTGTGTGTGTAATTAAATGTATTAAAAAAAAAAATCCTGTGTCATATATTTTTGTTGCAGATAGGCGGATTTGACAATGTGCTGGTCAAAACTCACTATCCGATCACATGATAGATAGTGTATAATTTAAAGACCATAATACCACCCTATAAACATAAAAAATACTCAATTGCTCCTTATTATATATTGTATATACATCAAACAATAGGACTTTTAATCTAAAAAAGATAGATTAGTACAAGCATGGGTGGAGCCAGTGTACTCCACTAGTCTGGCCCGTTTACTATATATATATGAAAAAATTCATATAATGTTCCTTTAAAATTTTTTATTTTTTAAAATTACCTCTTAAATTTTCTATTTTTTTTTTTAATTTTTTACTCTTTAAATTCGTTTAATTTCTTTTTAAAAAAATTCAAATTTTCCTTCTTTTCATTCTTATGAGTTTCAAAATAAGTATTCTGTAACACCCCCACATTTTTCACGCATAAGTTGATCAGGCTTATACACGAAAAACGAGGGATATCAAAACAATTGGCAATATACAAGCATGGAATACAAAATGATGGAATTAAAAGAATTTAGACAGGAAAGAAACATTAAATAATACAACATCCATCCATCCTTTATTTAATACAGTACTTCATTACAACTTGGAAATCCTACGTCAGGGATCCCTAAATATAACCCTGAGAGTTCAACGTCAAAAGTAAATAAAAACTGAAACTGAAATACTACATAAAACTTCTACCCTGCACTGGATCGTAGGAGTAGATGAGTTCGGATGATGGTCCCACACTGCTAACCTCAGCCTTGAAACGGATACTGACCGTATCCTGAAATAACAACAATGGTGGGTCAACCCCACGAGCAAGTCCTCTCTACTATGACCCAAATCAGAGAATCAAATAAATTAATCATTATGAATCGGATGAGTACTATATCTGTATACATCCTATGGGAACTATCCGATGTATAACATGACCTCAACCAGAATAGACGGTGATCACTTAGACTCACACTAGGTGGTCAAGTGTCGCCTTTCCCTACCCGGGAAATCAGCTATTATACATGGTGCACGGTACTGACAACACAGACTATAACGAACTACACAGTGATAACACCTCGCAAAGTACTGATGAATATACTGAGCATATAAATTAGGCAACACATGCCAACAATATTAATAAAGATACCGAGAATGTCAATTTAGGCAACACATGCCAATAATATTAATAAATATACCAAGTATGTCAGTTAGGCAACACATGCCAATAATATTAAACCACATACCCCGACAGCCACACATCTGTCTATCGCAACGAATGCATAAGGTATAAATGAGTCTAAACTTATTAGTCAGCTCACATGGTTCTATATGGCAACACATCCATATAATATAAATGCGACATAATAAACAGTCCATTTATTCCCTGTAATGCACACAGCATAATAATCATGATTTATATACGATTAACAGTATAAACATCCCGTAAGATATCATGGATAATTTATCTGACTAAAACCATGGCCTTATGTAATTTAACAGTAATGTTTGATACCATTTAATACGATAATAACACTATTTATATTTAACAATGTCGTTAAATAAACCACATTAGTATCCGTACTGAGAATGAGCCAATAAATGCTTAGAAAAGATTAATCGGTCATAAGAATAAGTAACGGGTGTTAAAATAATAATTTCGTGGCCCGTTAAACCCGTAATTACCAACACAGTACCTAAAAATCCAAGTTTAAGGTTCTGGAATTTACAAAACAGGCCCTAGGGGTATTCTGGTAATTTCCAGCAGCTGTAGGGACCCCACACGCGCCCTCACGCGCCTCCCAGAGCCTCCCCACGCGCAGCCAAGCTTTCCCCACTCTCCCACGCGCCTCCACGCGCGTCTGGCATCAGCCACGCGCTCCCACGCGCGTCTGGAGAGTCCCACGCGCGCGCACGCGCTGCCACGCGCGCACTAAGGGTGCCTTGCTGACGCGGCGTCCTCCGGTTGGTTGGCTGCATCAGCTTTCCTGCATGCGCGCCACACCGGATCAATCCACCTGCATCTCCTCCATCCAACGTTCCCTGATCCGGGTGTACCGCGGTATCATGGACCGCGATGCACCGGATCAATCAGACTCCATTAATGGCTAGGATGCGTGCGTACACCCTCCTATGGTGCGCCGCGTCGCACCGGATCACTCCGGTCGTCTCCCCCACTGCCGGCGACCGGAAAACTCGCCGGAAGGTCGCCGGAAATTGCAGAAAATGCCCGGAAAAATCTAGAAAATTCTAGAAAAATCCCTAAAGTCTTATTTAATTATTTTTAGCCATTATTAATTTCATAGGACATTAAATAAATATATACCATCCTATATAATTAAAATTCCATTAATTTAATAAAATAAAATTAATAATTTATTAACCTCCTAACCTTGGCTCTATGCATAAAAATAAGCTAAACAATTAATTTATTAATTCAAAGGGGAAAAGTAGATAATAACTTGCCTTTTTGGATTTAAAATAAATCCGCCGGTCTGCGCGTAGTCGGGTAAAATTGCCTACACCGGTCCAAGCTTCTTTCTCTTTCTCTTTTCCTTTCACTCTTATAAAATAGCTCTCTAGAATTTATACTTTGCTTCTAACTCCCTTTATTTTTTCTAAGGCAAGCTAGTTAATTTATAGACAAAATATATAATATAAATATTATAAATATCTAATTTATAATAACTTCTCACCCATTTCTCATATTCCTACCTATATGGCTTTAATTCCAACCATAACCATTGATGCAATCCTATCCTAATCTCTAATCTCATCATGACTTTGGTTTAATACTATTATTATTATTATAAATATTATTATTATTATTACTAATATTATTATTAATAAACTTTTATTATTATTATTATTATAATATTATTATTTATTATTAAACTAATATAATTATTATTATTGTTATTACAAAATAATATATTATATCATCATAATACTTTATAACACAAATATAATATTCTAATTAACTAATATTGCTTAATTAAACATAATCAACAAATAAAATTAATTATAATAATACATGCACAATTAAATACATAAATTTACTATTTTAACATACACAATTAATTTACATGCACCATTAAATGAACTTAATATAACAATGAAGCATGCACAATAATAGGTACAGGAATCCACACATAATTGAATTTAAATACACTAAACTCTTTAATTAATTACGGGGTATTACATTCTCCCCCCCTAATAACGGAATTTCGTCCCCGAAATTCACTACATACCTGTATTAAAGAGCTCTGGATACTTGGCACGGATAATATCTTCCCGTTCCCAAGTAGACTCTGTAGCACTATGATGACTCCACTGTACACGTACTAATGGAATAGTCTTCGTGCGCAGTATCTGATTCCTACGATCGAGAATACAGTAAGGTTGTTCCAAATAGGTTGCATCAGGTTGCAACTCAATCTCACCCACATCAATGTGTTGATATCGGTCTTCGTCCCGTAGAAATTTTCGCAGCATAGATACATGAAAAACATTATGTACCCTATGAAGATTATCTGGTAGAGCCAGACGATAAGCTACTGCCCCAATCCGATCTGTAATCATAAAAGGACCCACAAAACGAGGCGATAACTTACCCTTTGACCCAAACCGCATTACTCCCTTCATAGGAGAAACCTTAAGCAAAACCTGATCACCAACCTTAAACTCCAAAGCACGAGTTCGACGGTCAGCATAACTTTTCTGTCTGCTTTGAGCTGTACGCATCCGATCCCTAATGATAGCGATCTTTTCTGACGTGTCCTTAATAAATTCAGGACCCAAAAAGTTGTTCTCACCAACTCCAAGCCAACAGACAGGAGACCTACACGGTCTGCCGTACAAAGCCTCAAATGGTGCCATACCAATAGTTTTCTGATAACTATTGTTATAAGCAAACTCTGAAAGCGGCAAATATTCCTCCCAATTGCCCTTAAAAATCAAGAACACATGCCCGCAACATGTCTTCTAAAATCTGATTAACTCGCTCAGTCTGTCCATCTGTTTGAGGATGATAAGCAGTGCTAAGATATAGTTCTGTACCCAAAGCCTGCTGAAAGCTCCTCCAAAATCCTGATACAAACTTCGGATCTCTATCTGATACGATGGACAATGGTACACCATGAAGTTTCACCATTTCTGCAATATACAGCTTAGCATACTGTTCTGACGTAAAGTTTGACCGAACAGGCAGAA